GAACCAATTGTCCGGGTATGTGGCGCCCTCCCAAAGAGTATCAATCAAGGCCAACACACCAGCAGTCAGGGAAAACACCTCCAACAGTTTCATTTCGACTGAGAATCTACTAGAAGCCATCAAAGCAACATCGGTTGGAACCTTGCAGCACATCCCCAAAGCTGCCTGGCCCCAGGCAGCAGCCAAACTATCCAGCCTCTTGAAAAAGGTTAATGACTCCCCCGGAACCATCCAAGCATGGCACAACCTTCTCCTGTTTGGAAACATATGCCTAGCTGTCCCTGCAAGGAGAGAGAAATCACTAGCTTCCTCAGTCATTATGGCTATAAATAGTTTTCCTAGAGAGGACAACCAGGCACCCCTCCCTACCCGTTCCAAAAACACCCACCGCAGGAAAGGTATCAACAGCAGAACAGACATCCAAAATCAGAGCAACAGTCAGCAAGAAAATAGGAGGAGGCAACACAATAGGGGCAATCAGAATCATCACCAGTGAAGACACAGTTGCCACCAGGGATGCCAATACAGCACAAGCCCTGAGGGAAAAACACCCACCCAGAGCTCCTCGTGACGACAGGGTTCCCCTAGTCGGTGTCACCAGAGCAGAACCCGTGTGTGCTCGAATCCTAGGTGCATAAAGCAGCTTTATCCTTCCCACCAGGATCAGCAGGTGGGTTCACAGGACTAAGACCCAACCACATCAAACAAATGCTCAACCCTGCACTGGGAGACATTGCACAGGGCCTCCGGGTGGAACTAACTGGATTCTGCAACACATGTCTAGCTGGCAACATACCAGAGACCATACAGCCTCTCTTTTTTTTGGTGCTATCCTCTGTGCCCCGAGGAAAAAAGATGGAGGAATCAGACCGATAGCTGTGGGCAATTCACTCCGGCATCTCGTTGCTAAGGCTGCTGCTAGAACAGTTAGTCAGGCAGCAGCCGACATGCTGAAGCCAAAACAGCTTGGGTTTGACATTCCCCAAGGGTGTGAGGCAGTGGCTCATGCAGCTAGAGCTTACATTGCCAACATTACGGATGAAAAAGCCCTGATAAAATTGGACTTCAAAAGTGCTTTCAATCTGGTTAGAAAGGATGCAGTACTCAGTGCGGTTCATTACCTTTTTCCTTCCCTCTACCCATTTGTAAACCTCATGCTAAAGCAAGAATCTAACTCTGCTATTCGGAGAACATGAAATTGAATCGCAAGAAGGTGTCCAACAAGGTGATGCCCTTGCTCCTTTTCTTTTCTGTCTAGTCATCAAGGAAGTCATCGATAACCTGTCCAGTGAGCTCAATATTTGGTTTTTGGACAACTAGTCGGCTCCCCAGCCTCACTCTTGGACGACATAATAATTAAGGAGCAAGGAGCAAGTCTGGGCTTCACCCTGAACTCTTCCAAGTGCGAAATAACCTCCACCAACCAGCACATAATACAGCAAATAAAGGTTGTTTTGCCTGATATTCATACAACCAACCCTGAGGACAGTACACTCTTAGGTGCTCCTCTTGGAGGGAATGCCATCGACGAGGTCCTTGGTAAGAAGATCACTGACCTGAAGAGGATGAACGAGAGTATTGAAGACATCGATGCTCATGATGCACTTTACCTCATCACCAGATGCTTGTCCCTCCACAGGCTGACCTACTTTCTAAGATGTTCGCCATCTTTCAACAATATTAAATTAGAAGAGTACGACAGCTTGCTGAAATCAACGCTAGAAAAAGCCCCCAACCTTTCCCTCAGCGACTCACAGTGGAAACAGGCCTCCCTTCCTGTCAGACTCGGGGGGCCTTGGTGTGCGCACAGCAACACAAATTGCTGTAACTGTGTTCCTGTCCTCTTCAGTTGCGTCTGACAACTTGAAGGAAATCCTACCTGACCACCTAGTTCAACGAGCAGGGGTACATGATCCCAGCTTCACAGACTGCACAACCAAATGAATCTCTTGCAGGACCAGCACCCCAACCTTTTGAAGCCCATAAGCAATCCAGCTGGGATCGCCCCAGTGCCGACCAAGAAGCTGCAACTTTGCTAGAAGTTGCAACTTTGCTAGTAGTTGCAACTTTGCTAGAAGTTGCAACTTTGCTAGAAGTTGCGACAACACCACATGACACTGCCCGACTTAGAGCTGTAGCAGCTCCCCATGCAGGTGACTTCCTATTAGCAACCCCAATGTCAGCAACAGACACCCGTCTCACACCACAGGTCCTCAGAATTGCCGTGGCTCTCCACCTCGCTGCCCCAATCCACACTGAATACAGATGTATTTGCGGCGAGGCAGAGGCCGACAGGTACGGACAGCATGGCCTTCTCTGCCAAAGGACAGAAGGATGGCATGCAAGACGCGGCGAGGTTAACAACATTATTAAGAGAAGCCTTACCCCAGCTGGATGTCCAGCAGAGAGAGAGCCCCGTTACCTAATGTCCCGCAACTCTGATGAGCCTGTCTATCGCCCAGACAGAATCACAGTGAACCCCTGGAAGAATGGTAGACAATTCACCAAGAAGCAGCCAAGTCACATAAATACAGACCTTGACCACCACTACAATTTTGTCCCCATTGCCTCAGACACACTTGGTGCCTGGGGTAAAAGTGCTGCTAGTTTTTTGAAGGAGTTAGGGTCCAAACTAATTGAAACAACTAGAGACCTTAGAGCTGCTAGTTTTCTTTTTCAGCGCCTTAGTGTGGCGATCCAGAGAGGAAATGCTCACTGCATCCATGGTTCCTGCCCGCCATCTGAGGAGCTGGAGGAGCTCTACAACTTGTGACATGTAGCCTTGTACCCAGCATGTAACCAATGTTGTAACCCTTTTTGTGTAATGACATTTTTAAATAAAGTTAGATATATATACACACATACCAAAAGAATAGGGAGTGGTAGAAGAAAATATCAAAGTGTTCAGTGAGGATCCACAAGGTCTTCTCTGAGTACTCTTTATTTTCTTCTCTGAGGCTATGGGTCCCTACACTTGCACCAGAGGTGGTACCCCTTCTTTATCACATATATATTAATGTCATTTGAAAAACCAAAGGAAGTCCAGTGGTTCCTTGATTAATGAGTTTAATCCGTTCCGGCACCGAGCTCGTCACGTGGAAAACTCGTCTTGCAAAGCAACAACAAAACTGTCGTCGGAGGTGTCCGAGAACCAACGGGAATGCTCGGTAATCGAGCAGAAGCTCATCAGTCGAGACATTTTCTGCGAGTGGCTTGCTCGTTATTCGAAATGCTCGTAACTGGAGCCACTCGTCACTCGATGTTCCTCTGTACAGGAATTACATCACAACAAAAAGATGCGAAGCACCAAGAGAAAGTGTGCCAGCCAAGGAAAAACCGGAGCCATGACCAACCATGGAAATACGACATTAGAAAGGAATTTCAGAATATTCTTGGACATACTTTTACACAAATTAATTTTAAATTTGTGTTTACTAACAATAACACCACTGAAAGCTATTTAGAACACAGATTCACTACTCTTCGAGCTCAAATCTGATGTCCATTTAAATGTTCGAACTGTAATGTTCCATATTTGGGAAATACCTCATGGAACTTTAAATACCTTATTCATGAACATATGAGCATTTCTTTACTGTATTTCTCTGCCTCTTAGGCAATGTACATCCCTTACATCCTCTGTTATTAGAGATCACAGCGAGGACAACGGCCACCCTTTCACGTAAAATTATTTCTGTTCTGTTTGTTATAGAGTATCTTGATCTTTAGAATGAAACCCGAGTTGAAAAGCTGTCGACTCATTTGTTTATACATTAATTTTTGTTGTAAGTTTTGTATTATTTTTTTCTTGTGTAAATATGCGTCTTATTTTATATAGAGTTTAGGTTGAGGTTTCTGATTAAAGTTATTTTTCATTTAAAAAGTACATAACTTGGATTTATATATTATTGTTTTTAGTTAATCACGCAATAATATATTCTCTCTTTAGCACTGATGATGGAGTTCAAGATTCCGAAATGTCTGTCATTTTAAACAAGTCGATGATGCGTATCTGTTCACTTATACTGTTTATAATAAGATTAAAATTTCCAACAGGAAAATACATTTCTGAAATAAATATAAATGTAAATAAATATAAATATAGCTCTCATCCTGTCACTATTTGGTTAATTACATGCAATGAGACCTTCATTATCCAGACAAATTTGTAGTGGGTAATCAAATAATTAAAGATTGTGATAATTTTTCTGGAATTTAGTTTTTTAATATGAGCTAAAAACACCTGTAATATCATTAAAATAGCAAAAATAAATAAATGAAGGAAACCAATTATGTGTTATTGGGGATAAATATTTGTCCTACACAACTTATGTGCCAAAACTTCACAGATAATCAAGTTATCCCATTAACAAGACATAATCCAGTTAATGGGGAAGAGAGAACCAGAAATTTTTGTCAGAAAAATCCAAGAACCTGGAAAAGCAACGTTCTGAACCAACCTGTCCTCTTACAAATTACGTCTGAACTTGACTGTTTGCCCGTGTGCCCGAATATGGGCGTAATTTAAAAAAGAAAAATAATTGAAAATAATTTTTTTTTTTTTTTTAAACCAGCAAGTTAAGGGTCCTCTGTTAGGTTAGGAAGGCAGAAAGTTCTCTTAAGGTTTCAAACCAACATGAAAACTGTTAATTGAAAGTTTCCTCTCCTAACCTAACCGTGTAAGCCGGAGGACTCAAAACAGAAAACGGGACAATAAGTCACTTTTGTGAGCCGATTTCATTTTAAATTACGTCCATTTTTGGCCATAGAACGTATACGAGCAAAATGCAACGTACTGTAATTTTAAGAGTACGGGTTGTCTGAACAGGAATACCATTGAACAGCACTTACATTTCCAAACTGATGGTACTGTAGTGGTGGTTTTAAATCCTACCTATTCTATTTCATGCTTTTTAAATTACCGGGCAAGTTACCGTTTCGTTTTAATTTCAAATTTTCAGTTTCTAATACAGCACAAGGAATATTCTAACTTATCATACCTGATAAAGCCCATTCTGACAGACTTGTCAGAGAACTCCATGTTGCTACTGGCAGCCAGAGGCTCAGTGTAAGATTCATAATCATAAGACATTTTTGGAGCTGAAGATCTTCTGTAACCTGAAAATAAACACCATATGTCATTAGAAGTGTGCTTAAAAATGTACTTAGAAGTGTATTCTTAACATTTTAAATATAAAGAATGTTGAGAAGGGACATTTCCAGAGTTAGAAAAAGAAATGGACAGCTCATCAAATTCCTATCAAATTTCTCTCTTTAAAACACCTCTAAGCATACTCAAAAATAATATTCCCATCTTTCATACTTTAGCTACATAAAATGATTGTTATTCAAACTTTGACCATAAGATTCCAAGGAAGTCTTAATTTTGAAGATTCTGTTATAATCTCCAATATATACTGCATGAATGTTACTCTAATATACAGTACTGTACTGTAAAATTACATTACAACAAAGATATTTAATTAAAATGTCAAGGCAAAATTATCTTGTCAGTGGCAGTATATGTAATGATTGACTTTTTAACATTTATATATTTATAAATACTGTACGCATTTTAAATTTGTACATTTATGGATGTAACAAGAGCATAAAATAATTCGAGATAAAACAAGCATATAACTTGGAATACATTTTTTTAAGGAACTTTGTATACAACATGTAACAAAGAAATAATTTTACATCATTACCAGATACTGCAGTTAGCATAAATGAAACTTACTTTGCACAGAAAACTAGTGTAATTAGGATCCGACTTCAACACTTTGTTACTCATCTACAACCCATGTGGGAGAAATTCCCTAATAAGTATCAGCTAACGATGCTCACCCTACCAATTGCCAGTTGTTTTCCTCTAAGCTGGTGACCCAATACACCATTATATAATTAACTATTTCAAGTTATATTATCTTACATATTGACATTTCCCACAAAGATAGTGGCCAATTATAAGTAAATGCCTGGATAAAAAATTTAAAGACAAAAAGTTGATTCCCATTATTATTTTTTTTTTTTTTTAACTTTCTGTAAATGTAAGTGTAGACGTCTGGCCAAGCACTAAGTCATATTGAGAGCAAAGGGTGGACCCATAAGAAGACTTGAATTGCCGCCAAACAATACAGGACAGAAAACATGCTTTTTCACCCATAGGATAATAAACTTATAGAATCCCCTACCCACCAAAGCCATAAATGCCAAGATTTTATTTGTTTAAAATTAAAGTGGATAAAATTCCTCAGGAAAAATGGGGGGAACCTTTGATAAGCAGCCGACTTCCTGTCCCCATCGAGGCTACAAAAATGGTGGCCCTAGGGTAAATTTCCCTGGTCCTTTGGTCACAGGCATGCAAATTTTTTTTTTTTTTTTAGTAAATTTAACACTTTCCCCTCCCTGATGCCGCATAATGCGTCATAAAACCAAAACACCCAGTTCTTGATGATCCAAACATCATGCAAAAAATTTTGCAATGTCATATTATTAACTATAAACTTTGTGGGTGAATGAGTAATATTGGGTTGTGTGCTCACAGGGAAAGGATGGCCTACCTTCCGGAGCGATTTGGGTGGCCCGCTGGGCCAGTGAAAGTGCTAAATTAATACCAAAGAGTAGCAAAAATCAGATTAAAGGTGACAAGACAAAAAGAAAGGCACTGTCAATTAAGTAAATGCTTAGATACTGTAAACAGTATTGTGGTAATATGTTGATACATTTTGGAGGTAGAGTACAGATACCGTAATCTAAAATCTTTAGTAGAACAGTGTGTAACAAATTATTATAACTGTACAGTATACTGCATTCTTTAAATTATAAGTTTAAGTAATTTGAGATCCCTGTTAGATGACCAATAATGTTTTAAGGAAGCCCAAATAAACTTTTTAAACATATCTAGATGTACATAAATTTCTAGTGTACAGTACTGTACAGTCACCATCAAGGTGGCCATCAGGTCAATTGTGTAAGTTTTATTGGAACCAACTTGAAGGTAAGCAAAGACTGACTTTCAAGATTTAAAGAAAAGTTAAATATTAGTATAATATTGTACTTTAAATGGAAGTTCACTGCTGAACCTTTAACTGCTGATATGAGAAAGTAGCAACCTGTCCTCTTGAATAGTACATTATATTTTGACGTATAAATCTGCAATGACCAAAATATGATGTACAGTACTATAAATCATAGCAGCTCAAAATTGATGGGCTGTCCTGTTTTCTTTTTGTGGATCCTCAGTTATGTTTGGTTAGAGGAATTTAGTACAGTACTGTATATCATTGTTGTGACGTGACAACTCTAGAGCAGGTTGCTCAATAAGCCTGACAGTATCCCAGGTCCCAATAATGGGAAATTAATATTGTAGGCTAATTACATTTGGTAATGTAAGGTTTCCAGTATCCAGCCACTTTAGCTACCATAAGATTTTTAAACTTTTTAGCTGAACAAATGCTTTTACAATAAGTTCTTGGAAAAGCTATGGTATGAATTGAACTAGAAATCTACCAACACACACAAGTCTGCAGATGTTATATATATATGAATATATAAACCAAAATGTTACCAAAGTTTTGATTCAGTCCAAGAGACAAAACACTTCAATACAGGTCACAGCTCAACCCATCCTCTTAACTATGTGCCTCATTTAGTATGCTATGGTCAAATTATTAGCACATACAAAATAAGAGGTGCTATGAAAAGTAGCGGCTCACAAAATACAGTACCCACAATTTCTATGTGTAGGTTGGTTTGGTAAGTGGTTTGCATTTGTGTATTTTAGTACCCATTACTCTGAATGTTGTAGCAAACCAAGAGAACAGGCTAGACATCCATATAGATTCAAAGCAGCAAAAGGCAACATGAAAAGCACATGGAGAGCCATCTCTAACATCCTAGGAGCTAATCAACATTCACATAACCAGATAAAAATCTCCAAGGATGGTTATACAAATAATGTTGCAAACAATGAATGAAAAAAGTCCACTTGTGGATGTCAACCAACAAACTCACACTGAACATAGAAAAGACCTACTACATCTTATTTGGAAGCAAATCAATAAATGCAATTCAGCTTCAGATAGATAATATAAACATTAGCAGTAAAAATGATGGAAAGTTCCTTGGCCTATACTTAGACAAGAGACTTACCTTCAGCATGTAACACCCGTATAACATGTAAAACCCCTATAATGGAACACCACTATAATGGATACTAAACTAATAATGTACACACTACTACTTATCCTGAATAACACTTCCTACCAGTTGCACTTGGTAACACTGTTATTGAACACGGTAATATGAGCTGACATATGATGGTTACACCGGAACCAAAGGTACACTGCCAAGGAAATGCTACACAGGACTAAATAACGCTGCCACCATCTGCCTTCACCATTGAGACTATATCAAGCAACGAGGCAAGAAACATTGCTCGACTTGGAGAGTACTTTCTATGACTCATTAATTATGAGACGGTTGTCAGCCACTATATCCAAAAGGCTAAGAGGATTCAACAACTGACACAGACGGGAAATTTAACAAGAGTTTATTGAGACCAAAATTATATTAATCACTACTTATAAATCCTACTCTAACACTGGCCAAAAGTTAAGAAATTTGGACATGGAACAAAACCTCAGAGATCACACACATTACCTTAAGACCTCTGTCTCTCCCTGGCTGAGATGTTCTTCACAGACCCGCTCTCGATCCCGGTGTCCCGCACTCTGTTCCAACTAAGTCTCTACAGGACCTCTACATACAACCCCCACAGGGGGGAGGGGGGAGATCTGCTGTTGCTACCTACACCAAGAATGTAAGAAGTCGGCCACACGTGCACAAACACTTAAAAATATTTCAAATAAGCTTGTTTGACATTCACCATACACTCTTCAAGAGAGGAGTTATTAATTACTTGTGTGACTGACCTCTGACCTGGCCAAAAGGGGGAGATCCATGGATGTTTATACAAAAGAATCTGGAGTCTAATTACATTGCAATGTTTGACAAGAGTATCATGAAATATTACATACTTAAAACTATGCTGACTAAGACTAACCCAGGAATTTTTTAATCAACATACAAGAAAATCCAGGTCATCTAGGCTGACCTCTTGGAGAAGGCTTCCCTGAGTGTGAACTCTGAAGGGAAGGGGGGGGGAGGTCATGGGTGTTACAGCTCCTTTCACTATTATGCACTTATCTATCCCGATCTTACTTATGGTATCTGTGCATGGGGTTCAACCTCTGCAAACTACCTCAAGCCCATCATCACTCAGCAAAAATCTGCTATCAGGACAATAACAAACTCTGCTTTCAGACAACACACAGCTCCCCTGTTTAAATCCCTAAACATGGTTAATAAATTCACTCCATACAATAAATAAATAAATAAATATGTTTATTCAGGTAAGGTACATACATACAAGTGATGTTACATTAATGGATCAATATATAGATAGAGCTAGTACATACAATGCCTAAAGCCACTATTACGCAATGCGTTTAGGGCAGGAAGAACATTAATATCTAGAACTTAATACTAATTGAGCATAAAGAATAAAATGTGTTGAGAACAAATACAAATAAAGATACATTCTCTTGTGTCAATTACTTTTATAAAACCCCTTTTCTTAAGTGCAAACCCTGTTTTGAAACTCTTCCTGGACAGATGTAATAGTCAACACACACACACAATAGTCAACATACTCAACACACCAGACATAAATATCTCTGATATCCCCAGAGTCAAACAATCTGTGTAAACACTAAGCAAATAAAGAGACCTAGCCTATGGAACTTGCTTCCTAATGAATTGAAAAGCTGTCCAACTTTTGCCTTATTCAAAAAATAAAACCAAAAAGTTCCTAATTTCATCTTCATAGTTTTCTTTCTAGTGCTTTATTTCACACTGTATCTAGTGCTACCCATTCCCCCAATATATGTACCTAAGCCATATTACTTTACCATTAATCTTAGATATCATCTGATATCATGGTTGTTGTATTGAGTGCATGTTCTACTGCATTATTCCTTGAAATGATCCTCATATTGTGCTTCAGTGAACTAATGTATAACCCTGAAATGTTATCCTAATGTACCTAGTAATCC